CAAGAAATTTTCGCAACTTTTTATCGTTTTTATATTTAATTATGTTCTTGATTTTTACTTAATCGATTCTATATAATCATTAATTACTTATTTAGTCATTATCTATTTATTGATTTTATTATTAGTACTATTTTTCAATTATCCAATTATTATTATTATTATTATTCATTATATTATATTACACTCATCATCATATATTCATTCAATCCACTCATCATCATTCATCATGATATCATCATCATTTATCTCTCTATACATTCAGATTTATTTCTTGACAACTGCTATGCACCGCTATCAGTCCACCGCATCCACCTCGTTGCAGCTTCGTTGTGACCGTCGACTGCGCTCGACCCTTGCCACTCGCCTCCGCCTGCCGAGTACCCTGGACCCGCTGGCTTCACAGAACTCTTACATCTTACCTACAGAGAAGCAGTAGTCTCACCGCGGCCGTCATCCCGCCATACCAGAAACAGCTGTACCGGGGCTCGGCTGCGGAGGAGACTGTGCGGGAGAGAGCGAGGAGCCGTGAGCAGATTGACAGTGCAGAGGGCACTGTGATCGTGAGGGGAGAGTGGGAGGATCTACAGAGATAGGGAGATGAGAGCGTGTGAAGAGAGGCGGGACATGCAATACACGAGTTAGGAAGATGAAGAGAGATGACGAGAGTAGAGAGGATGAGAGAGAGAGGAGGGAGATTGAGACGAGCAGAGTAGAGAGATGCAGGAGAGTGAGTGAGAGTGTGTGGAGAGGAGAGAGAGAGAAAGAGCGAGAGAGAGTGAGAAAGCGAGCGAGAGAGAGTGAGAAAGAGAGCGAGTGAGAGAGAGAAAGAGAGAACGAGCGAGAGAGAGTCAGAGAGAGAGAACGCGAGAAAAAAAGAGCGTGAGAGAGAGAGAGAGTCAGAGCGGAGAATAAAAGTAAATGTGTGGAGAGAGCGAGAGAAAGCGCGTGGTGTATTTGCACGCGTATATGTTCATGCGTGTACCTACGCGTGTCTATGCTTGAAACGTTGAAACCAAACGAATGAACAGCGAGAACGTTTGACATTCAAACGGTGGATTCGCGACCACTACGGGTGGTCGGATTGCCCGGACTCATGAGGTTAAGCCTCTAATGAGTAATCAAAACAAAAACAAATGCTAAGAGGTGCACGATGACAGATCGGAGAGTCACGTTACTAGCCCTGCAATCTCATAACCCCAGAAAACGCAGCTCTGCCTCTGTTCTCTGCTAACCGATCTCATCTGTTCTTGTTTATTGACCGCTAAAAAACCAAACAGCGTTAGGAAATATATCACCATCTGTAACCACATTATCCCTATCGGACCACGCCATGCTTAACAGCACTGTTCGCTCGCATTCCTTTCTTGAGGAGACGGGGATAATTTCATGAATTTCTCATACGCAAAATTGCGCGCATTGATTTTTCATTAAACATAGACTTTAGCCGTCGCATCGTTCGCCTCTCGCGTACACCGCTAACCACGTCCGACACTCGTCCCGCTCGCTGACGGTGACACAACGCTTTATCTTTATCGCGCATCTAAAGCGATATTAAACACGCAATCAGAAACGCGAATCCTCGGATGGCTTCTTTTTCTCGGATGGCTTCCTCCGCGATGTTAGTCATTGCCGCCGTAATTACTAGCGGAGTCATCATCGCTCGTCGCGATACAAGCACTCACGGGTGGTCGGCTTCCGCCCGGACGTGGACATGAGGGTGAGTCTCGCCAAATAGTCACGGGAGAGGAAGCAGAAAACAAAGGGTGCCTAGGAAGCAGTGCAGCGGAGTAACCAGCGATGCGGGAGAGTCACAGTTAGTATCACACCTGGCGATCGTTCAATAAACGGCGGACGCGGCGCAGCATAAACGCAGCTCTGGGCGCCAGTCTGTTCTCGATGGGCCTAACTAGCGCGAATCGTCTGCATCTGGTTGAGGTGTGAGACCGGCTAAAAAAAACGCTAAGAACAGCGTAGGATGGAGAGTATTAGGTCAGCATCTGTAAGAAGCGCACTAGTGGTAGGCTGATGGGACCAGCGCAGTGGCTTAACGGCGAATGGCAGCAGCAAACTGTTGGGGGAGGGCGCCTCGCGCGGTTCCTTTCCTTGGAGGAGGGACGGGGATAAATTTCATGATTGTCTCATACGCACAAAATGTGGGACGCGCCGTAAGTGAATTTTTCACTTAGAACATATGACTTGTAGCCGTCGCGCGATGCGTTTCGGCCGATCGCTCCGCAGGCGGTGCAACGCTGCGCGCTAAGCTCACGTGGTCCGACCAGTAACGTCGGTGGTTCCGCTCGCTGGACCTGGTGACCCATGCTGCAACGAGCAGTTGGCGGCGCTTGTGCTTCGTGGTCGCGGCGCGCGGGTCTGCCTGTCGGGTGTTGGCATCGTCCTCTCTGGTATGCTCTGTCGCGGTCTAGTGCCCGGTGTCTCCATCAGCGGCTGCCTCCCATCGTCAGATAATGCCTCTCACGCTTTATCTTCTTAGTCACGCTGCGAGTTGTACAAGCGATATGTTCTAACAGCGTCACCACTCAGGTAAACGGAGCCGGAATCCTCACAGATGGTCTTCTAGATCATTGTCTCGGTATTCGGCTTCCTCCGCGATTGTCTCAGTCGAATTCCCAGGCCGTGAGACATTGACTTAGACGGAGGTCATGCAGTTCGGCTGGTCGTAAGTCACGAGAACCGGAGGATCTGGGTCTGGCGAGGAGAGGTGAGGCGGGAGGGAGGGGGATGGGAGTGCAGGAAGGGGGCAAGGTGAGAGAGAGGCGTTTCGGGAGAGCGAGGGGGTATTGGACGGTAGGACGTAGGGCATATCTATGAACGCAGAGTGGACGATCCGAGAGGGTGGGGAGGGAAGAGGGAGAGAGAGGGGGGGGAAGTCTCGTCGGGAGAGGGAGAGGAGGAAGAGAAGGGGAGAGGGAAGGAGCAGATCGGGAGAAGAGCAGAGGGGGGCAGACGAGTAAGACGTGGTGAGCGAGGGAGGCGGAGGGGTACGCAGAAGCGAGGACGAGAGAGAGAGAGGGGAAGAGAAGAGCGAGAGAGAGGCGGGGGATGAGGAGAGAGGGAGAGACAGGAGTGGGAGGAAAGGGGGAGGTGAGGCGGAGAGGAGGCGGGACAGGGGAAGGGAGCGCCTCTAGGAGGGCGAACGATAGGGATCGCGCGGAGTAGGACAGGGAAGAGGTAGAGAGGAGGGGTGAGGAGAGGAGCGGGGATAGACGTGGAGCAGGAGGAGGGCGGAGAGGGAGGGTCGGGGGACGGCGGAGACGAGAAGGATGAGGGGATGGGGGAAGGGCAAGAGAGACGACGGGGAGAGGGAGGGAAGGGAGAGGAGAGGTGGAGAGGGGGTCGAAAGCGGGAGGTTGAGGGAAGGGAGAGAGGGTAGACGGGAGGCGCACGGGGCAGACCGAGAGGACGACGGGAGCGCGAATGGGTAGGTGAGGGAGAAGAGCGGCAAGAGAGATTGAAGAAGACGAGAGAGCGACGAGCAAGAGAGGAGAGAGAGAGGGGGGCGCGGGCAGGGAGTAGGAAATGAGAGTGTTTGTAAGAATATAGTAACGAAGACACACGCGAGGAAATTCAATGAGTGAGGTCGGAGAGGAAGAGAAGAAGCAGAGAGGTAGAACATAGAGAGAGAGAGAGATGAGAGAGAGAGAGAGAGAAGAGAGAGATGAGTAGGAGCGAGAATGAGAGATAGAGCAGAGAGAGAAGAGAGAGACAGAGAAGAAGAAGAGAGAGCAGCGTGCGCCGGAAGCACGAGAGATGGGAGGGAGAGATAAAAAAGGAGAGAAGAGGACTAAAAGAGAGAGAGAGCGCGGCGGCGAGAGCAGAGAGCGAGAGAGAGAGAGCGGGAGACGTTCATCCAGTCCGCAATCTTCATCATGTGTGTATATTCAGCCCTGCGTCAGCGTAGCTCCCTGTGTTAGTCCGCAAGGTCGCGCACGCAATGCGCGTATGCATCTCCCATGTCCGCTAGCGCTCAGCTTAGTCATGTTAGGTGAGACGCGTCAGGACGGGGAGATGTTTAGACAAATCAAGCTGCAGGTGCGGTTTGCCACAGTGAGACGTAGATCTGAGCGCATTGGTCGTCAGTGGAGAAACTCCCTTGAGAATAACCGGGCGACGGGAGTTGGAGCGATTAGGGACATCACGGTATGGATTGTCGGGTGTTCGCGGACAACTGCATGGTATCTAACTCGTGTCATGCTGGGCCCGGGAATCGAAGGTAGCGTTCTAGGCTCGGAGGGTCCGTGGGAGACGCGAGAGTCGGAGGTGCTTAAGCAGTGCGTCGGCGGTCGGTGCTGTGCGCTAGCCGCTCGATCGCTTCTGGCTCTCTCAATGTTAGCAACAAATCACGCCGCTTACTGGCAATTTTTGCTCGGGCTGAAGTAAGTCGCCGCGTGAGCGGGGGTGGGGGTGTTCGGGCTTGCGCGCTTACACGGCGCGTGTCTCGTGATCTTGCTGTCGACCTTGTTTAGAATAGTTCTGTTGCGAAGAGACATGTCCGCATCTGTATAAGCGGAGAAACTCACCCCTCGTCATGGTTATTGTTAGTGTACCCATGACTATATCTTATATCTAGCGCCTTGAATTTCTCATTAGATTACGTAGTTCGTTTGCATTTCTACGTCGCGCAGAATAACCCCTGTCATCTCATCCTATGGCCATTGTCACGGTCGCTTCTCACCCCCGTCGTTACCACCCATCACCCGATCCGCCACCACTACCTCACCACCCTGCTCCCCCTTCCTTCCGGCCA